GAAAAACAGCAGCTAGTGGAGGAAAAAGATGCAGATAATATGAGGAAGGTACTTTTGTTTGTAAATCATTCATTCAGTGGTTTTGACTTTTGAGAATTAAATTTGTGTTGTTATAAGTACCGAGTCGACTGTTTTGGTTCGCTCCGGTTATTCTTTTGTTGCTGTTGAAGTGAAAGTCTAGAAATATAACAAAACACTTAATGTCAGGTCCCTCGGGAAACCAGTTAGTTTTGTTTTCCCAAGAGTCCTGATGTTTCCCTCGACTTCGTCGAGGGAAACATCAGGACTCGAGGGAAAACAAAACTAACTGTTTCCCTCGGGATCTGACATTAAGTGTATAATAGCATGATTTGTACGTGATATTTGGCATAAAAACCACTCTTGATATTTCAAAATTGTCTAACAATTTCGAAATATCACTCGTGGTATTTATGCCAGATATCACTACAAATCATGCTATTACCTATACTAATGTAAAAATTATCTAAATTTTATCTTGCAAGCCTTGCATTTCCAGATAGTTTTCTTTCGTCTCAATAGGACATAAGTCAAGTCTCCTTGTAACTCCAACATCACTACTGCCCATTTACTTTTTTTTTCCATCTCGTAGGAGGATTGACAGACTCCGCTATTGTGGGAAGTGATGTTAAGTACTTAACTCATTTAAGCACGTGGCTCAAACCAGTTGCTCAGAGCAAATCTTCACGATGGAAGCGTTGTTGGCGAGCGTCCGTGGACGGCTGGGCTGCTAGTACTTTTCATGGCCGTTGTGACAACAAAGGACCCACTGTTACAATCATAAGAGTCGGCGGAAAATACATATTTGGAGGCTACACCAGTCTCTCATGGCGTAAGTTGTTTGGCTTTTCTAAAAATGGACTTATTAGCATGTAAAATTGTCTAAGGAAGTATTGGAAGTAGAAAATGTTTTTACCACGAAGAGGACTAAAAAAGTGCGTTCGCGCTGTTTCAAACTTTATCGCCCTTATTCCATTTCGGTTAATTCGACAATTAAAGGTGAATTATTCTGGGTTTAAATTCGAGAATTTTCTACCAAATATTAGAAAAAGATAATCGTTGTCTTGTGCTCATACCCCATAAAACTAACATTAGGACGTTTTACATCGTATTCGTGCTGCGAATTCGCCGACAATTAAAATCTGTAACGAGGCATTTTTTTTTTCGGGGTTGTTCCTCTTTAAAGTGTTTTTCAGGCAAAGTACGCCGCACTGTTGTCTCGAGTGCCGTTGTAGTTTAGTTTGTAGTAAACAACAATGAACAATTCAAGCCTTTATATCGGGTTGCCGACAACTGAATATTATTATGCAATTTTTCGCTCTGTTTAATTAACAATTAATGAATGAGGCTGAGTATCTTATGAAGAATTATGGAGATCGAGGAGGGTGTTATCCGTCGAGGCCGTAGGCCGAGGCGGATAACACCCTCCGAGATCTCCATAATTCTTCATATTATACGAAAGCCGAATTCAATAATTGTTTTATTATTCATTCAAAATTATTCCTAGATTAAAAACATGGCTAAAACATGCTTACCTCCATCGATCCCTCGATGTTAAGTTTATCTTCGATAGTGCAAGTTTAGGTTTGTCCAGCTCCGCAGACATTCTCCAAATAGCAGATGTCGTCCTTCGAGTTGTCTTCTTGCTGTTCTTGCCATGTTTTTAGCTATTTTTCGTCTAGTTCTTACTCTTGAAAAGAGTGAAATGTCTGCCATTTTTCAAGTTCACAATTAAAACAACTCAACCTCGTCCCCAGGTCCTCGCAGTTAACGGTGCCTTAACCTGCGAAAACGCTGCATTTTTGACGTCATTTCCTCGTTAAACACAAAATTCTTCCAAATTTGGTCATCAGTAACTGGTTATTGTGAATTAAACGTGTGCTTTTAGCCAATCAGAATCGGGAAAATATTTTGAATGAATAATAATAATAATTATTATTTTTTGGCGTTTAAGTAAATACTTAAGTAAGAATAAACTTAGTATTAAAAACACACTTTTCACAAGACTGATATCTTTTCTACTTAATTAATTATTGCTACTTAAGTATCAGATATTTTATTTCTTGTCTGTATGAATTCAAATTTTTGAACGAAGTCTGTGCATTATTAATCCTTATCGTTTCTTATTTTTCCAACAGGTTCCAGCTGCCAGTATCGATATGATTCCCAGGCATTCCTTTTCTCGCTGGTTAACAAGCCAGGATGGGCGCCTGTGAAACTGCCTCAGACAGGGCAGTATAGTTATAACAGATATTCCATATACGACTGCTCGTATTATGGACCTATGTTCGGAGGAGGCCATGACTTTTTCATGGACAACTACGCGCCATCCAGTAGCAGTAACCATGCCAACCTTGGCTATACTTACAACCCACCGAGCGGGTACAACTACGGAAGCACCTTCGCCCAGACATTTTTGGCAGGAGGAAGTAATTATTATTTTACACCAGACGAAGTGGAAACATTTTACGAAACAACCTAAAAACTGTGGCATCGTATTCAGCTTCAAACTTGACAGTCAATTAATATTACATTGATTATAGCGTGAGTATCAGGCCTTCCTTGTCTCTCCTTCCCCTTTCCCCCCAGAAACTCCTGATTCTCAGGCTACATTGATTAAGCCAGGATGATATTTTTTTATAATCTAGGCAACGAAAAAAAATCCTTTTTAATTAATATCTGTCAATTTAATTTTGAGGCCTGTAAGTTACAGTACAAAATTTCTACCACCTTATTAAACTGATCTTTAATATGAACAAATGTTCTGATTTATTTCTTTTCAAACATTTCTCCTCGTCTAATTTGCAAAATGTACACCTGTTATGTTACTTATTTCGAGCTGTCTAGTCAAATTTGGAATATTAAGCCTACATTATTTTGCATTTTTCGTTTTATGTTTTACCTAATCTTCTTGATCGCGATAGACTATGAAATGATATTTGAAAAGCAGTAACCACTGGTGCGAGCGCTAGGTGAATCTCTACTGTACGTGTGCTGTATAGACTACGAGTAGTTCCCATTTTCCCCCAGGGATAGTAGAGTGAGCGAAACGCGAGCGCTTGTGAAAATCACCCCACGCGAGAAAGGCGTCTCCGTAGTCTAGTGCTATGCGGATGAAACTGATGTAACTCGAAGAACTTTTTAAGAAAGGCTTATGAGCATGGCATTGGTTCTCCTAGCATATAAGCAATTCATTTCCGCAAATCCTGATTAAAGAATTATAGCTTTGGTGGATAGAATGAAGTACTAGGAAGCTAAAGAAGAAAGGAATGGTTAATTGGAAAGCGATATATCTGTGGGCGTAATTGTTAAGGTTTAGCAGAAAAATAGTCTCTTTGAATTTTACGTTTATGCATATCCTAATTAATTACTCTTCATAAGGATTGATTAATAGTCATGATATGAACGTTTATAGGACTCCGGGAAACCGGGTCCCATTTTCTCTAAATCGGATCCGAATAAGATCTGAGACTAGAAGTAGAACTAGAAATAATAATAGGTTAAACAACATCTCGCCAAAGACAAATTCCTGTCAAAAACAAAAATCACAGAGAATAATTGATCATTAAAACAGGTCAGTTTCATGACCTCTCAACGTGTACACGGCTGAATCTCAGCTAGCCGTCTCCTCGAGTGGCAACCTCCCAGATAGACTTCTGAAAGCACTGGTCGCTAATGCCGTCCAGTGATTGCTTGACCTTGTTGTTTAGTCTCTCTTCCATAGTAAAGGTCCAAAGTAACGAAATGACCGTAGGAACCGTAAGTTACAGTATTGAATCTAGTATGTAAATGAAAGTCCTTGTTTCGCAGAGAATCATTTAAATTAAACAGTTCTGCTAAGTCGGTAGGGGCGAGGTTGTTCTTGAGTTCATAAGTTTTGCTATATCCTACAATCTACGATTTTGCATCTTCGGTAGTCCTGATATTTCAGTAGTGTCTGGTAAGAGGCAGACTTAGTTCTGTATACCGCTCTTAAGACACGTTCTTGAAGGCGATCTATTTTGCTGCTGTCGGAGGCCTTGCAGAAGTGCCATACTAGCTGGCAGTAGGTAAGGTAAGGCAGGATGGAGAACTTATAGAAGACTTATAGCTGAGAAGGGAACAAGATTACGCAGGCGCATTAGGATCCCTTCTTTCTTACTGACTTTCTTACACAGTTCGCTAATATGACCACTGAAGTACAACTGCAATCAATGTGGACGCCAAGTAGTTTGATGCAATATGTGTTTGTAATGACCCTACCATCTATGCTTATATCCGTGTATTAGCCTTCAATGTCAATATTTCTATTATAAAGGATCATCGCCTGGAATTTGTCAGGATTTGCGAGTAGAAAGGTATCACGATACCAATACGCGGCAAGTTGACCTTCCTGCTCTAAGGCTTCCCTTACAACTGTAAAATTAGTTCCTGAGAAGGTATACAACTGGTGGTCGTCCACATACATCGAAAGTTTAGCTGTAGTTATGGAGCAGGGCAGGTCATTCTGAAATAAGTTCCAGAGCAAGGGGTTGAAGGAAGACCCCTGAGGACACCCTCTGCTTACTTGATACTAGTTGCTTTCCATATTTCCCAGTCTTACCCTATTTTGGCGGTTGTTAAAGAATGATCGCGTGAGGTCTAACGCTGAGGACTCAAAACCGTATGCTTCAAGCTTTGTTAGTGTCGTCGAGTGGCTGAGAGAGTCAAACGCTTTACTCATATCAGTCGATAAAATACATACTAACTCTTTTCTGTCTATTGCTAGCTTCCAGTCCTCAGTCAGACGTCTCACAGCTATGTCCCTTTCTGTAAGCAGTGCTTCGGCTAGAAAAGATGCGGTCGAGTTTCACAGTTACTTGTTTACAGTGCAGTTGCTCAAACACTTTATCAGTGGTTAAGAGGGACGTTATCGGTCTGTGGTTCTTGTCCTCTTGTCTTAAAGTATTGTTTAGTGGACCAGCTTCGTTACTTTTCTAGTCACTTTGATCTCTATTAATTGCGCAAAGTGTATATGACTAAGAGTGTTTTGAAAATATAATCAGTGATGTAAGTAAGCGATATATCTGTGAGGGAAAATGCTGTGAACAGCATGCTACTCAGTGCTTTTGCAAAGAATTCTTTTCTCACCTGGCAATAAGCATTGTTCATTTTATCCAAAGGTGGGTTCGTATTTGGAAAACTTATGACACCATGTTCAGTGAAAAGAGGCTTGTGCAGTTTGGAGAAGGCAAACCAGTTCTGTGAAAAGAGGAAAAAACAAAAGTGATGCCACCCATCTTGTGACAGAATCGTACTACACCAACAAAAAATTTAAATAAACTCAGCATTTTTAGGCCCCTTTGAATCTAAGTATTTTGAACTCTATGAAGTTGTGACCTAACAAAGAGCGCAAGGCGTCAAGAACAGGGTGCAAATCCCCTTTATTTAAGACATCAGGCGAATCACGTAAGAGCGTGAAGGGAGGCATGGGGACAAGGAAGACCAATTTGTGTGCCATTTAAAATTCACCACCCGTAATGCTATTCAATTCATTTCTTTTCCTTTTTTTTCTTCTTCTTCTTCTTCTTATTATTATTCATTATTCATTATTATTATTATTTCAAAAGGTTGAGTTTGATCTTCCGGGTGAACGTAGTCCTGAATAGGACTGTTGTTGTTGACAGTGACTGACGTTTCGACAACCTGTGCGGTAGTCATCTTCAGAGTCAAAGTGAGTTGTGTCACGTCAGTTGATGGTATTATACTCTGGTTATTGATCTGATTGGTCAATTATGTCGCGATGTTATTGGTCGTCTGTCAGTTAAGCCGTGATGTTATTGGCTATGAAGACTCGTAATCAGTGATTGGTGCGTTTCGATCCGTCTATTGTCACAGTTAAACAGTCGTCTATTGTTAGTCAAATTGTCACTTCTCCAGTTGTTCTCTCGTAGTTAGTTTTCCTTGATCTCGTCAATAAGTCGTTTGTACGGCGCTGGTAACTGTTGGCTACGATTCAGTGGCGTTTGTTCTAAGTTAGTAAACCAGCTTTCTAAAGTAAGACGTTGATAGTAGTCTGTAGAATACGTTATACATGTCGCAGAGTCCCAGTCAATTTGATGTTTCGTCTTTAAATGGTGCTCAGCAATGTGATTGTTGACGTCACCATTCCTCGTCGCGCGTCTGTGTTCGGTCAGTCGCGTGCTTAGGTTTCTGCCGGTTTCACCAATGTAAGAAGCCTGGCAGTCGCAGCATTTGATCTTGTATACTGCTCCCTGTCTGTCCTCCGGTTTGTCTTTGTCCTTGAAATTAGTAAGCAGTCGCCGTAAAGTGGTTATCGGTTTGTGCGCAACAGGTATATTGTAAGGTTGTAATATACGTGCAATAGTTTCAGAGGTGCCTCTGATGTACGGTATAGTCGCTGTCGTAACAGGGCCAGAGTTGGTCTGAGAGTTGGAATCAGTATTACTGTGAGTGTTCCGTCTAACAAAGTCCGTGTTGTAATTGTTCTTACTAATAACGTTGTTAAGATAATCAGTCTCGTCTCGTAGGCTGTCAAGTGAGTCGCAAACTAGTTGCGCTCGTCTAGTTATTTAGTTAGGAGCTAGGCTATTAAGACGGAATCCACCAGGAAATTGAGCAATTTTAATTTTCAATGGAGAAAAACCTTGTAGCAGAGTAATTTAAAGAATATTGCATTCTTTTTTACATTTTTGAAGGGCTAAAGATGTAATAAATCATCTGTAGTAACACCAAAGAAAATTTCTCATGGAAGTCCAAGAAAATGAATATCAAATTTCACAAGAATTGTGCTATACTACCCTGAGTGCCAGAGACTTTTCAGAAACCGGAAACCGCGCTAGAAAAGTCTCTGGCACTTCAACAACATGGAACTTAATCACAGTACAGAGTAAACATTGAATGTTAATCGTTAACAAACATGGCGCAATTTTTACAAAGCGGACACTTGGGAAGGTCCGAAGGTGTCCGCTTAATAGCGATTTCACTGTACTTCCGATCGATCCATTGTTACTATAGCCACGATGACACTCGAGGGCGAAATTATGTTTTGACAGCAACACGAAATGTGGGAATGTAAGATAAGAGAAAAAAAAACCTGCAAACAATCACCTTTGTACGATCTATTCCATACCCGCACGATTTTGAGAGAAGCAGCAGTTGCCTTTTATCCTTCATTTAATTAGATGCAGACAGAAATCGATAATGCTCTGAAACAACGAACTTGTCAACCATTTTCCCTTGTCAGATGTTACTTATATAGTATAATTTTCCTGAGTCGAGAGTTGCTTTTCCAAAGATAAACACCGACGAAACAATATTAGTGGCTGGCACAGAATATTTTGGCCAAACCGCTGTTCAAACACGCGATCACATACCTGTCAACACCATATGGAAATCACACAATCACACATTTTCGCGGCACTGATAAGACTATCCACAACCACGCATACTCTTCTCACGTTTAACATAAGCGAAATATCATCGAATTATGCTACGCCAAAC